AAATCACGCTGAACTAAAGTATGTTACGGTCAAATCACGCTGAACTAAAGTATGTTATGGTTAAATCACGCTGAACTAAAGTATGTTAGGGTAAAATCACTCTGAACTAAAGTATGTTACGGTGGTCAAATCACGCTGAACTAAAGTATGTTGTGGTCAAATAACGCTGAACTAAAGTATGTTAGGGTAAAATCACGCTGAACTAAAGTATGTTATGGTCAAATCACGCTGAACTAAAGTATGTTACGGTTAAATCACGCTGAACTGAAGTATGTTATGATCAAATCACGCTGAACTAAAGTATGTTACGGTCAAATCACGCTGAACTAAAGTATTTTATGGTCAAATCATGATGAACTTAAGTATGTTACGGTCAAATCACGCTGAACTAAACTATGTTATGGTTAAATCACGCTGAACTAAAGTATGTTAGGGTAAAATCACGCTGAACTAAAGTATGTTACGGTGGTCAAATCACGCTGAACTAAAGTATGTTACGGTCAAATCACGCTGAACTAAAGTATGTTAGGGTAAAATCACGCTGAAATAAAGTATGTTATGGTCAAATCACGCTGAACTGAAGTATGTTATGATCAAATCACGCTGAACTAAAGTATGTTACGGTCAAATCACGCTGAACTAAAGTATTTTATGGTCAAAATCACGCTGAACTAAAGTATGTTATGGTCAAATCACGCTGAACTGAAGTATGTTATGATCAAATCACGCTGAACTAAAGTATGTTACGGTCAAATCACGCTGAACTAAAGTATTTTATGGTCAAATCATGATGAACTTAAGTATGTTACGGTTAAATCACGCTGAACTAAAGTATGTTATGGTCAAATCACGCTGAATTAAAGTATGTTATGGTCAAATCACGCTGAACTTAAGTATAAACTGCACGAAAGATATACGTTTTCAATCATAAATCATCTTGTTGTAGAGCCATTGAGAAGAACAAGAATGTTTTGTATTTCTAATAAGTATTTGATTAGACTTGATCATACTTGTGTGTAAAATCAAAACTTGAGGAGCTACATTGTCACAAATCACCTAAATTTGACATTGTCCTTCTGTCTGCTGGGAATATTTAATAATCATAAAATTTAAAGGAGAGCGTCCAAATACATAATACAGGATTACCCACAAAGTATGATACTTTAATGGCGACCTGAAACTCTTTAGATAAAACAATATAAAGTCAGAACTTGTGTTGTGTTGTAAATCAAGGAATCAAGCCATGATCTCCTATAGTATACCTACGTGATCTCCTATAGTAGATCTTGGCTTGATCTTCATATTAAGTAGACCTGCGTGATCTTCATATTAAGTAGACCTACGTGATCTTCATATTAAATTGACCTACGTGATCTTCATATTAAGTAGACCTACGTGATCTCCATATTAAGTAGACCTACGTGATCTCCATATTAAGTAGACCTACGTGATCTCCATATTATGTAGACCTACGGTTTAATTTAATTCCTCTTCGATACCCCGTGCTAATCACAACTCCAAATGAAGGCTTAAATTCGATCCTTTATCCACAAATGTAAAAGTGTCAACATTGAATATCGAGATCAGCGTTCAAGATTATAACAACACTGTCCCGATCAGGGGCGTATTTAGAAACTTGTCCAGGGGGGGGGGGTTACATTTGTTTTCTTTCCAAGGGGGGCTCAGCACCCGTTGGGACCTCAAAACCCCCTGAAATCAATAGATTTCACTGGTCCAGGGGGGGGGGCTTAGCCCGGCCCAATAGCCCCCATTCTGAATAAGCCTCTGGTCCCGATCTCTATAATCAGTCATTAAAAACAAAAAATAATGGTCAAACTCCTTAAGAAAAATGCATAAAGTTTACCATCATCATTCCTTTCCTCCTCGCTCGGGTCCTCCACCAGAGAAACGTCGGCCAGTGAGATCTTCCCGACGCTGTCCACCAGGTGCAATCTGCCAGCCTGGGTTCTAAACATAGAGATTATAGAGTATACAGTACTAATGTACGCTAATCCTGTCAAAAATGTACTATTCTGTAAAAAAGGTTAATCTGCATTTTTTAGTAGATTCTTAAGTGTTTGAGTGGTAGAGACCTGTCTAAGTAAAGTGCATTTTTTATTTTAATTATTTCTTAACTAAATAATTTTTCACTTTAAATAAATATGATAACATAACTTAGCAGACAAATACATAGAATTCATTGAGAGCAAGTAATTAATAAAACATCGCCATTTCAACCTTTACTTTACTTACAGGGATTATATGCATTTTATATGTACATGATTTTATGTAACCTTGGAGTGTCAGATTCACAGTTGTACCCTTTTCATGAAGTGTTCTAAATTGTTTAACATCACTCAAAAGTGGTTGAATTCTAGAGGGAAGTTTAAAAGGGGGGTGCACAAAAGCGCCAATCAATTTTCAGATACCATTCTAATCAGACATAACCCTCTACAAATGGATGCTTGCACTTAAAATTACCGACTGCAGTCCCTGTACACATGAAATAAGTTTGGTATGCAGTATAGAAATATATTTTGAGAAAACCATAAACCAAACCAAACCAAACCATTATTCAACTTCACGAACAATATTCAAACCTTCAGAATAAAACATTTTATTTTCATTTTATCCTGCAGCATACTGGTGTGCAGTATTTTTGTACTTGTGTAGCAAATATCATAGCAATCCCCATATTTGTTAACCTGGAAAGAACTAGGTATGATTGGAACATGTATTGTAATTTGTAATTGGATTAAATGCAATTATATCTATCCTCGCTAATCTTATAAATAAAGAACATTAAACTTTAGATGTGCGGTAAATACGTAATATTTATGGCCCCCTTTGTTGGGATCAATATATAGCTTGTTGATATCTACCGAAATCCTGTTTTGATAAAACAGGTTGGATCTTCCCCATCATTTGGGAACGATAAATAGCTGGTTGATAGCTAGGCTTGTGTTTGCTGTTTGACATTTAGAGCAGATTGTCCCAATCAGTTGGGATTGATATTGTAGCGGGAAAATTATCGGATGATCTTTCCTGCGATCAGGGGGTATCATGCCCCCCCCTTTCCCTCCACCCCTTGTNCCCATTGTACAGACTTTGGAATTATAACGGTTTTAGTTGTGTTTACGTAATAATTCAAACAAGCGATGAGAGGTGGAAGAATATCCTGAGCATCCATCTTCCACTGACTATTATTCTTTTCATCGATCGTATAGTATTTTTAGTTTATTCGTGTTTGTATAAAAATAATAATAATAAATTGTAAAACCGTCTCGCAGAATATTTGATAATTTGAGTTGTTGCATTGAATTTTAAGCATATACAAGAATATATAGCTTGTTTGATAGCTAGGATTGTGTGCCTGTGTAGCATTTAGAGCACTAAATTAATATCTTGTTGGATAGCTAGGCTTGTGTCCTTGTGTGGCAATTAGAGCCTGGATTAATAGCTTGGTTTGATAGCTACAGTGATTGATTCCATCCGATTGATAGTGGATTTGATAGTTAACGGGATTTGTAACTGTGTGGATCGTGTTCTGGTTGACTTTGATAGCGGACGGGTTGGACCTGGATAGATACGTTTCAAGAACTTGTTATAGAGTAGTTGTTCACTATAGGCGTTCCAAATAACATGACGACTTTAATGTCAACTTCTAATTAATTTTACATTTTCCTCCTCTGTTTATCATATAGAGTACAGGGTTTAGGGATCATATAGAGTATTGGGTTTAGGTATCATATAGAGTACAGGGTTTAGGGATCATATAGAGTACAGGGTTTCGGGATCAAATAGAGTATTGGGTTTAGGGCTCATATAGAGCACAGGGTTTAGGGATCATATAGAGCACAGGGTTTAGGGATCGTATTGAGTACAGGGTTTAAGGATCATGTAGAGGACAGGGTTTAGGGATCATATAGAGCACAGGGTTTAGGGATCGTATTGAGTACAGGGTTTAAGGATCATGTAGAGGACAGGGTTTAAGGGTCGTTTAGAGTATGTGGCTTAGGGATTATGTAGTGTACATGGTTTAGGGATCATTAAGGGTTTAGGGGTTATATATAGTACGGGGTTTAGGGATCTTATAAAGAACAAGGTTTAAGGTGAAAACCCTTAGATATGTCAAACTAGTTTGATCTAACAGAAATATTATTAGGTCTACGACAACATGGGTGGCAAAGATAAAGATGAAAGTGAGTAGAAAAATGTTGGCAAACGAGTTGGTTAACGCAAAAAGGAAAATCTTTAAATATGAAATTACTGAAAATACCACATTAAGAAAGTAATTTAAGTATAAAGACGATCGTTAAGTCGTTTCTTAATCGATATACTAGTGAAATATCTTGTTTTGTATGGTTTAAAAAATATTGTTTTTTTTTAACCTGTATCAAAGTTCCTTGTCTCACAAACACCTAGTAAAACAATTTTTAATATTTATAAATGTGTTTAAATTAGTAAAATTGGGGTTTGAGAAAATCCGAACTACAGACTAGAGGGAGTAAAAAATGGAGATTATCGATGTTTTGAACAATATTTTCAAAAAAAATTTGCTTCAGATCTTAGGCATAAAAGAAATAAAATGTGATAAAAAATCAGAAATATTTTGTTGAAAATGTATTTTCAATTTGTTTTCTCCAAAATTTCAAAAAAATTCATAAAAATGGAATGTGATATAACAAAAAAATTATTTACTTAATGCATTTTTGAAGTCGAAACAGTTCTAAGGTATTATTATTGTAATATTTAGTGCAGATTTCCACGTTAATTATTTTGCGGATTTCTTGATACATCTCATTCAATTTTTGATGAATTTTATGAATGTTTGGAAAGCAATAGAATGAACATTTCTCCAACAATTTTTTAAAAGATTTTTGAAAATATTAAATTGTTATCACATTTTTGTTATGTCGAAAATTCGAAGCAAACAAAATGTTTAAAAATGTTGTCCAAAATATCGTTAATACCGTTTTTACTCACCCTGTATGAAAAAC